TGTAAACCACAGACCAGGCATTTAGCAACAACAGCCTGAGACCAGGGCCCTGACAACTCTCGCCTTCTGGTCCTGGAGTGGAGCTAGCAGGGCTGGAAGGAGGGATCGCTGTGAAGTAGCAGACCCTCCTTCCCCGGTAATGGCTCGCCCTAAATTCCTGTCGTACCTGCCCCTCCCCGTCATGACCATAATGCTCCAGCCCACCCCCGCACCCGTAGACCCCATTTCCCCTCCCGTAGCCTCCATTCTCTCCAGCAGGCCATTTATATCATTCATTCTAGGAAGAGAGGTAGGCCTGGGCCCCCTACCACTTCTGCAATAGCATTCAGTGAAGGAGGCACCAGGCTGTAATCCCAGTCCCCTCATACATACACAGCCACTCACCCATACAGTCCCCACATAAGTCAATTAAAAATACAAAATACAATGGTAATAAAAATAATAAAAGTGGGTACAAGCATCAACAATCACACCATACACACCTCATCCATAAAATTGTGGAGAACTAAGTTTGCGCAGTCTTAAGATGGAACAACAGTGAGAAGGAGGGAGAGCTACTCCGCTCCTCTCCCTTCCTATAACAATTAAGATGGTTAAAGTGGTTAAAAACCCAGCAACAGTCCACAGAAGGTATACAGGGGAGAGTCACATTTCCCCCTCTCTGGTAAGCCTGAGAAGGTCCCAAGAGTCTGAGGTGGTTGAGGGGAGCAGAAGGCCTTCCTACACACAGTGAACATCCCCGCTTGTCCAAAATCCAAGGCACTGTAATGGGTGGAATTAAACTAGTGCTGTCCAAGATGGTATTGGTATTCCCAGGGCAGTTGCGGCTAGTAGTAATCAAAGCAACTGGGGCTGAGGCAGCACGTCCAGAGGCCCTGGGATTATGGTTAGGAAAAACTTGATATTCAAAAGCCCAGATGGAAAAGGGCCAGATGACAAGCAGGGGAAGTAGAAAAAGGCTCCACAATAGCGATGATGGGCTATGGGAGAAACTCACCAAATCCACCAAGGGAAGAAGTCCAAACAAACAGAAAGCAGGAGAGAAAGAAGGCAGCGTTAATATAACGTTAAGCGTTAAGGCTGAGCCAAAAAGAGAGGGGGGAAAGGGGCATCCGGAAGGGCCATAGCGGCAGCAATTGTAGCCAGCTGCCCAATTCGCCCAACCTCTATGGGCGCCCAGGTCGTTCTCTCCCCCTCTGGAGTGGTGGCAGTCCAAAAAGGTCCCCAGGGGTTCAACAAGCCGGGCAGGCACAGTCAAAGGATGTTGCAGGCACCAAAAGATAGTAAAGAACGCCGTCATCTGCACGCCGCCCGCAGCGGCAACAGCGAACCAGAGAAAAGGGGGGGAGGCCTGAGAGAACTGCAGCGGCGGCAGCAAGAAACCAGCCGCCAAGTCCCAGCAACATTGATGTTGAAACTCAGCCGCCCCTTCCTCAGGGCGAGGCGCAGACCGCCACGTGTAGCACACCACCCAATACAAGTCTAGCACAAGTCCAGGTCCCAGGCTCTCACCCGCAGCGCCACGCAGCCGGAAAAATGCTCACCGCTCGCACGCTGTCGCCAATGCCGCCGAGGCCAGTATGGAAGCATGGGAACACAGAACACCATCCAGAGGCCATCCAAAAGCGACCCCCCCCCTCAGGTAGACACCTCTCCAGCTTGCCCAACAATTAATCTCCTGCCAGGACTCCTTTTCATCTGTATCCGGGGTCTTAATCCACAAGTTTGTTCGTCCTTTCGTTCTTCGCAAGCCCAAGCGTTTAGCTTGGGCAGCCATTTCCCATTCTGCACATGCGCAAACTCCCTGTCAGGCTGAAGTCCCAACGTCTGTAATGTGTCCAAATTTCTGAATCTTTTTACCCAGGGGATCTTTATTCAATCCAATTCTTCAAAGAAATTTCACTGCAGTGAGATACATAAGATACTGAGTACAAGCAAAACTTTTCTCCCTGTTGAACTCACACAGCCTGTCAGAAACATTATGTGATTAAATACATAGTCATTAAAATTTAATTTCATATTTCTCAGACTCCTACAGCAGGCAGTTATTCTGAAATTTTACCTATGTTCAGTTTGAAGGGGTCTACCATAATCACCAAATGTTTTTCAGGAAGCAGAACATTTGAAAACAAAGTTGTCCAGTTGTTGGGTAACCAAAGTGATATGCCAAATTATTTGTACATTTTTCTCTTTTGTATAGGAATTAGCTTTTCCAGTATTTTTTTTTATACCTTAGCATATGCAGACTGCTTCTCTAACTAATGAACCGTACAAGTATTTGCAATGGTACTGTACTTTCATTATTCTCTAATTGCTGCATTTGAAAATGGTTATCATGAGCTTATACAGTGCATGAGTCAGAGACCTCTCCCTGTCTCCAAAGAAGCCGTCTTGAAGCAGGCTGCCACGCGCCTGCTGCACCTGATTGTCTCATCGGCACATTCCAGCTAACAAAAGCAGACGAGCTGAGGCAAAGCCCAAGACACTGATACACTTGTTCTATCCCCACAGGTGTAGCAGCCTCCTGTTTTGAAAGCTTCTGGGTGTAGGCGTTAAGAGCTGCATTCTTTTTTAATTTGTACTCCCTCCTTTTCCAGGCGGATGGAAAGGAAGCCAACAGCAACACTTTGAGCAGAAACACAGCCTTATGTGTGAAAGGATATGATGGCTTAAAATCATTGCCCAAAATCAGAGTATAGCTCTGTATAGCTCCTAAGCTGACAGTTTCTTGACAGGTGGTCAGTCGAGGTCCCAATTAGCCCAAGGGCATTCTTCAGAAGAAAAAGACTAACCTCGTGTACACAGTCAGTTTTGGGAATAGATGAATCTGATTTACTTTATTTGCTAGTTTTAAATATAACCCAGTCAGATCCAGTGGTGAATGCTAGAGTCCTTTCTCTGTAGTATTTAAATGCATTGCTCAAGCTGAATCAAATACATGTCTTGCAATTTATGCACAGGGATAAGAACATGCATGAATCCTTAAAACAATTTAACTCCTGATCACTAGAATTTCATTACAGTTGGTAGAGGTATTCCTAATTATTTGTCTGATAGGTTAACTCATCCAACTCATACGGTTTAACAATACAGTATAACTCCAGGACTATTTTCCTAATAATTTACAGCTAAGTACAGTAGACATCAGACCAGATATCTAAAGTCATCTTGTTGCAGATGCATCTGTAGAAATGCTTAAAATTATTCATTTTTGTTTGAGCTATTTAAACTATACATTCAACTGTTCTAGAGGCATATGGTCAGAAGTCCAGGGATTACTTTTGAATTTATATAGCCAGTCTTCCTGACCAAGCAGTCTTGTTTTAATGATTTTTTTATTTTCCTGGGTCTTTTCTTTATTTACTTTTCTTTATTCCTTGGCACAAAACATCATATGATTGTAATGGTCCCATATCTGGTGCTGCAAAATGATACATGCTAGTTGAAAATCAATAGGAATTAATATGACACCATGTTGCTAAAGCATGTTAACACTCAGGTACAAAAATGCAAGCTACAGAGTTGTCTAAAGAAATGGATGATATTTAGTAAAACCTACTAAGTCATTTGGAAATGCTGACAGGAATTTTTTTTATCACCACTTCTGAATTCTTGCCTCACGTTCCTGCATCTTTCTCTCTCTTTTTAACAAGTTCTCCAGAGTTCTTTATTGAACTAGAATGTGTTATAAAGCAATATCTATTTAGTGTATAGATAAGTTCCACTTACTTAAAAGGTTTGTGTAATTTTGTGTCATTTCACAATTAATCCAGTACTTTGGTGCAAGTTGGTAAAAGTAGAATGAGGAGAAATGGAAAGACTGTCATCATAAACCACAATGCCATTGAAAAGTGTGGTATGATATGTTTTACCCTTTGGTATTAAAGAAAAACCACACCAGAAGATATGTGTGCTCTGGTTTAAGTAAGCTTCTATCCCGCAAGGTTTTTTCTTCTACCAAGAAATAGGAATAAGATAATTCTGTCTAGCAATGTTTGCTTTAAAACAATTGTTTTTAAACATCCATAATAACAGCTAGATTTTTGGAGATTTAAAAAATAATAATTTCACTCTTTCTAGATATATTATTTAAAATCATATTAAAATATATAGACATAGTTGGTTTGGAGCATCTTTATTAAATTTCATTATACAACAGTATTTAAATATAGGTAGACATACATCAAAATACTTAATGTGCTTCTAGTTGTGAAGATAGACAAAACAGGGCAATAATTACACCTGCCTGAAAATTAAGTTTAAAGCAGACCTTTGACAATTTGGGAAAATACATCATAAATAGCTTCTAATTTTCTACAGTCATGCCCCTCTTATCTTATACTCCTTTGATAAGTAACCTTCAGCTCATTTTTGCCTACTCTTGAAAATAAACAAATCCAGCTTTGCTTCCAATTCAAGTTTAGACAACATGGTTAAATTAACAGCTTGAACATTACCAAAAAGAAAGAAAAAAGATTAGGATAATTAATGCCAAGATTATAGAACTAGGAGTGTTTTTATATTGTAGGTTGGGCCACTATTTGGGAGGCCAAATGAAACTTTTACCACCAACTCTAAACAGGTTCTGACAGTGAACTATGAAAAAAAAAATGCTCCATATGTCCTTAAAGGGCTTCTGCCAAGTTTTTGGATGTTTTTTTTTTAAAGGAAGCCTGCAGCTACACAGAAGAGCAGTTCTATCCATACTTGTTGGGAAATATGGACCACTGGAAGTAGAAGAATAATTTAATATGGTTCTACAATGCGGACCAGTAATCTTTACTTATTGTGAGTAGACATTACTGTAGGTATATTTTCTAATTATGGTGCTAAATGCAAAACATTCAATATGTTAACATGTTCAAAAACAGAATTGTGAAATCTGATTTCATTCCCAAACATAAACTTGAGATTTGTCATTGATTTGGAGAATTAGCTACCTAGAGTGAAGTAGTAGTAAAATGGGCAACTATATAAATCGAATACATAAAAAGAAGCAGAACTAAATTAGAAATGATATATATAATTTATCCAGATCATTTTGAAAGTTGGAATTAGTTCAGTCCTTGCTAAGTCCATTAAAGATACTCTTTTTATCTGCAAAAGAAATACTAAATGAAATGTATTTTTATTACATTTTATTACATTTATTACATTTTTGTGCATCCATGACTCTAAAGTTTTTGACAAGTGGCTTCAGACCGCACAGACAAGCTTATATCTTCCTTAGAGATTCTGAAAGTTCTGATAAATGCTACTTAAGTCAAACTTTTCAACTATTCTTAAGATTATATATGTACTGTATGACTTGCTACAAAAATAAGCTTATATAGCCATTGTGGAAATAAGAGCTTTCCAAGCCAAAATCATTAGGTTTTACGAAAATGCAGCATCAAAGAAAAAGGAGAAAAAACATAAATAGCCCTTCCATCCACCCCCATGTCTTTGATTTTGGAAATATACCAGATTGATTTGGATTCCTTCTTAGAGCACAACATATATGTCTCTTTGCTTTGAACTATTTTCATCCAGGTAAATTTTCAAATCTCAAATCCTGAATCTGAAGATGTAATATTACATTGAAAATCTGCTCCAATTGCAACAATATTTCTATGCACAGGTGTTTGTTCATTTTTTTTAAAGCTACAACGTGAGTGTGAGTCTTAACATTGTGATCATATTTATTAAATTTTTATCCATAAGGGAACTAAATAAAGTTATCAATGAAGTATCATACTACTAAATAGCCATAATATAAAGCATTCAGATTGACTAGGGTCAATGTTTTCATTTTAAATGCTAATATAATCTTAGCATTAGAATTGCACCTTTCATATTAATACTAAATCTGAGATGTCACCTGAGATGGTGTTGCCTAACATGTTGTTTCCTTTTATTTGTTGCTTGTGTAACTGCCTCTGTTTTAGGCTGCTCATTGACTGAAATAAAGATTGACTGAATCTGATCGGGGTTTAAGAATAAGGGTTATTGGAGTAAGGTGATGGGCTTTCTTTTCAGCTTTACCTAATAGGATTGCCAAATATTGAATAGCAGAAATTGGAATGACGGTTTCTCTTTTAGAAGGCTATTCAGAAGTAAAGAAGATATAATCATTTGGGTAAAGCAGGATATGGAGCAGGCCAGGGCCTGCCGTGAAACACATTCACCCAGTGATTTCACTGACAGTCAGAGACACTTGCCTATGGCAGGTGCAAAATTCAGGCAGTGCTCTGATTGCCTCAAGAAAAGAAAAAACCTGCAATGGATGTTGGGACACGTTCTAAGCTTCTCAACAATTATGCATTGCTTTGTCTCTCTTCTCCCTGCACCTACCTCTCCCAGAAATGCTTTCAGGTTTGCCTTATTTTTTTTGGCCTGGAAGCACAGTTGTGGTTTACAAGGATCTGAGTAGTGGTGGTAATGGTAAAGAACAAAGTGAAGTTAGAATTTTAGAAAATCTTAAATGTTAGTCCATGTTCTGTTTTCATAAAGTAGCTTCTATAACTTTGGAGCTATACTTGCATCTGTTAACTTTAGGCAAGATGTTTAGAGGAGGGCAGGAAACCTTCACAATTTAATATCCGTATTTTCTTAAGCACTTCTGATATCCCAAGTATTGTTTTCTCTTAACTTCTTAAAGGTTGGTCTACATATTCCATAAGTGGGCATGATTTCCTAGAAAAATGGCATTGTGCAATTGCACAGCATACTATAAAGGTAGGGAAGAGAATAGGCACAGCTCAGCCTTTCCTTAATAACCACTTCCAAGTGCAATTTCAGTTAGCACCAGTGGTGGGTTGCAGGCGGTATGGTGCTCCAGAGGGCCTACCCGGCCGCCCAAGGTCCTTACCTGTCCTTTAAGCCTTTGGCGCTTCCCTGCATGAGCATGGTATGTATGGCGCCTACGTGATGCTCTGCTCAGCAGCTGGAGCGTTGTGGATGCTTGCAGAGGTGTTGCAGGCAGGTACGACATATGCGCACACCACGTGTGGGTGCCCGTACACCACGCATATCCATGTAGGTGATGCTGGGCCCACCACTGGTTAGCACACTAATATGCTAGAAATTCATAGAGAAATCTAATAAGCATTTGGGTTCCATGTCATCAAACTGTTGTTTGTCTTTGCTCTAAAGGTTAATCTTACAGTTACTTGGATATTTCGGAGTAATCTCTTGTTCAGTCCTGGTAAGGGAATGAGAAAATGTCCAATCTAAAGGGACAACTAATAAGGGGGGGCAATCCTTTTCTTGAGGTATTAAATCAATGACATTCAATGGTGAACAATACGTGGTTTGCACTGGTGGTATATAAATATGCCCTTCCAAAGAACTCTTAGATATCAGACATGGATTTTGTTTCTTTAGAAGCATCATATCCAGAGATGCCACTAATTATCCTGGACCAATCTTGCCATACTAATTTATGCTGTAGTGAACAACATCCAAGCTAATGTAGGGGGATTGCAGGATTCTAACAATGGCCATGCTGCTTCCTGGAGAAAACTGGGAGTCAATATATCTGAAAATCATCCAAATGAAGAAAAGCAGGTCTAATTTTAGCCAGCCTCTGTGCTGGTTATGCTTCTTATGTTTGGGCTGAGTCTGCTTTCAGTTCTTCAACAGACTTTGTCATATTTCTTTTGTGCCCATGTACTTGGGCTGCTGCTTTTGTCCACCTCTCCCTTCATGCCTGCCACAAAAGACTGTCTGAAATTCTTCTGCCTGAGATAAATAATGAAATGGCTGGCTCTCCTGTTCTTTATATGCTATCTGATTGGACTAATATTTGAATCTTGTATCAACTCTGAGTAAGGGATAGTATCCACATCCATCAAAAAGGAGAATGAGTCACAGAGGCTGAGGAGCCTTCATGGCTTTGCCCTCCAGCACCTGCCACTTGACACATCTGCCTCATCCTAACAATAGGGCCAATTCTTCCTCTTACCAATCCTTTTCTGTCATCTAAGATGTAGCAACACTTACTGTTTAAGCTGCTCCTCTCCAGTACTCATATCAGCTTACTCTAAGCTGGTTTAAGAAAATCCTGTCCAGACTGAAGCACAGTGGCAATAGCTAGCAAGACAGAAGACTCCCATGTCTTCCTACTGAATAGTTCCCCCAGCTGCTTTGCCCTTCTATCATTCTGTTCTCGAAAAGCAATTACCAATCTCTCTTATTCCTTGGAGGCTCTTCCTATACATGTAATTATATTTGAGTATTTATGAGAATTTGTGTTCGTGTGTGTGTGTGTGTGTGTGTGTGTGTGTGTGTGTGTGTGTGTGTGTACTTAGTTACACTATCTAGTCTACTTGGAGGGGGGTGATGTTGGTATAATAAGCTGAACAGCGCATTGTTACTATTTTTTTTCCTTGTCATATAAGAAGCAATTCAGTATCATCTCCCAAATAGACAGGGAGTTGGGTGAAGTATGAAACCTTCTTCCTCAGATAACTGGAAAAATAAAATAACTGGACATTAAAAAGAACAGAACTGGGGGGCGGGGGAAGGAAAATTAAAAGAAAAATAGTCAATAAGGGGCATTATTGCTGTGTGCAACAGCAACCTTCTCTTTAGAAAGAAAGTGTTATTGTTATCATGGTAAAGTAAACTCTAAAAGGAGTAAGGGTTCATGTTAAGTGTTGACTCAGTTGAAGGGGAATTCTTGTAAAATGGTCTTTGTGAAATAGTCAGTGCACTTCTAGGTTAACTTGCGACAAACTAAAGTGTGCTTATGGAGATTTTCAGTCATCTTGTTCATGGTTGTTCCAAAGGTGCTTTTTCAAAAGGCAACTAGACTTTTTTTTCCTTGAAGATGTTTAAGCTTCCCATTCAAGAAGCTTCTTCAATTGGAGAATGGAAGGATTGTGCTATCCCAAATGGAATGGAACACTTAGGGAACATAATATACAAATGTCCATATCTGAAATATAGCAGAAAAATGTGCCTTGCAAGTAGCTTTGATAGTGAGTGGGAGATTCATTGAAGGAAATATCTGTTTTGGGGTGGCTCTTGTTTTTTGTTTTGTTTAGTTGCTTGCTCAATCTAGTGATTAAACAACCAAGCAGTATATATACGGTAAGTCCTATATCTGATCAGTAGTTCCAACTTTGTCTCATAATAAAGAAGTAATGAAGCAAAAGCAGGAAAAGAGACAGCACTGGTTGCACATCATATTAATTCTTCAGAGCACACAAGAAGGACAACTGTAGATCTAGAATAAGTGCCTTGGGCCTTTCGCACGTGGCACGACAAATCCACGCTTGCAAAAATAGCGGTGATTAAACCGCGTTGCTAAAGCCGCGACATCATCACCGCGCGTCATCACTGCCGCGACAACAGCGCGGTGACAGAAGGGCATTCTACATGCTTCATTCTTTGCCAAGAAGAACGAAGGTAGCCCTCCTCCTCCAGCTGACAGTGGCAGCGGGCACGGGGCAAAGCGGGCTGCCCAGCAGCAGCAGCCCGCGGGAAGGGTCCAGCTCAGCCGTGGGGGGCAGCAGGAAGCCTGCGGGGGGCCCAAGCGGGGCTGCTGACGCCACCCGCCCTGCCTCTTCCTCCGGGGGAGGTGCCAGTGGCGGAGGAGGATGCGGCAGCAGCGGCGGCTGAGGCTCTCCCGGGGCCGGCGAAGCGGCCACCCGTCCAAGGAGATGTTGTTGAGGAAGAAGAGAGCGGCCTGCCTCCGCCGGGCAAGCCCGCTTCGCCGGCCCCGGGAGAGCCTCTGCCGCATCCTCCCCCCTGCAGACTTCCTGCTGCCCCCCCGCGGCTGAGCTGGACCCTTCCCGCGGGCTGCTGCTGCTGGGCAGCCCGCTTTGCCCCGTGCCCGCTGCCACTGTCAGCTGGAGGAGGAGGGCTACCTTCGTTCTTCTTGGCAAAGAACGAAGCATGTAGAATGCCCTTCTGTCACCGCGCTGTTGTCGCGGTGGTAGGGTCGTGTTTTTCTTAGCGCTTCGGACGCCGCGGATTTGCCTCCACACTTATGTCAGCGCGGATAAGGGCATCGCGGTTTTGTGGTGGAACCGCTGCCACCACCACCAAGAACTGCCGCTGAGCAGATTACCCA